CCCCAAAACCCCAAAACCCCAAAACCCCTTTAAGATTGATTCAATTAAAAAGGAGGGTTTGAATTTATGAAATAATTCTAAGTTAAATAAAATGAAATAGGGACCTTTGGTTAGCAGCAAGCTCCTAGACAAAAGATGGAAAAATATGGATCAAGAAATACATAAAAAGAGACTACGAGAGGTAAAATCTGCTGTGAGGACACTCTAAAGTGCTCCTTACTAACCGAATCCCGTCATTAGGAATTACAAAAAAGAATCAATGCTAGAAAGTATTAATTCTGAACAATAATTTCAATAGGAAGGTATACCGAGATTGAAAGAGAGAACAGAATTTTACTTGAGAAAATGAGTGGCATTATGTAAACAAACAAGCCCTAACTATTTAATCCAAGTAATATAAAAATTTGATATTTGTTAGACTTTAATCAACGCAAAAGCCTAAATAGAGAGGTTAGGAAAAAAGAGTTGCTAAAGATAACGATCGAGAATCAAGCTATTTTAAAACGTCTATAAGATAAAACATCAAATTATAGCGTGACTAAATGGGAGGAAGATTTCAAACACAAAGAGAAGATTATGAAGAATATGTGCGAATATCCATTTATTCTTGAAGGGGATTTGAGCAAGAATAATATTTCTAACCCCCTAGATTACAATAGTGATGGACAATCAAAAGAAAATCCCTTTTCATTACCGAGAATAGGTGCTAGCGCAGGTGGAGCTAGAAATAACAATAAAAGTTTTTCAACTGGAGGAGGAGTAAATGACAGTTTGTTAGCTGGAAGAGGAGGAAAGCCTGTGATTAGACAAGCAGAAACTCTAGATGAAAACAGAATTGTACTTTATAAAAAAGGAAAGCAGTTGGGAAGTGGCTACTACATTGTAGAAATATCATCCAATAACTCCTTCCTTTTCATTGCTGCATATGATGTTGAAAGTCCTGAGTCACTTTTAATTGAGTTACCAGAGAAAAAAGCTTAAGAAATTCTTCAGGAGTTCTAGAATGATTATGAACATATGGCAGGGTCTCTACAAGTCATTAATAAAAGATTGGTTCTGTTGAATCCAGTAAGAATATCAAAGCTATCAAAATTAATCTTTAACACTTAATATAGAAATTCGTAAATTAGAAATAAAGACTGGCAAGTGCTCCAGTAGGTGCAGTGAGAGCAAAGGGGTTGAATAACTCAACTGGCCCCTCTCAAGGTGTGATTGGTGAAGAGAGAAGAGGCGATGATAATAACTATGGCAGCAACTCTAAAGATAATATTGGAGATTCAATGAACATCTCAACTGGTGGTCAATTTAAGCAAAGACCAGAGACCTAAGGCAAATAATAGAAAGAATTGTGATTTATACCTACCTCTAAATAGGATTAAAATATCTGACATAAATTTCACTTCATACTTTACTACATTTATTTTAACTCAAAGTCCTTATCAAAATTAATTAAGATTATTTATAATTCAATATTTGTAGTTATATATCCTTCATCTAGCTTCATATTGAAGAAGCTTTCTCTCTCTTTTCTTGTAAAAGATCCTGTGTCCGCAATGAGTGCATCTGATCACTGAATCTTTATCGAGTTTATTGTCCTTTCCACATCCTACATAATATTTATAAAGGAATTGATAATGCCTACCTCCACAAATGTAAGTAACCTTGGGCTTCTCTCTACTGTCCATATCCTCTTCATTAATGTCAATTAATCCATTATCATTCATCTTGGTATTGTCCATTTTGCTCCAACTAATAATACTTAATTAAGCTTTATTTATTAATAATTCTACCAGCCAATGACTTATTAGCCTCTTGGGGTTTTGGGGTTTTGGGGTTTTGGGG